GACATTTACATGCTCAGCTCTGCGAGCAAGCCCTCTCTCGATTGGTGCCCATACATGATCATTCGTGATTACGATTATACCAAACATAGGATCCAACTTTTCCTCAAGCTCAAGTTCAGCACCACAATACTTAAATTTTTTAGCATTTGACATGTCCTACAAATTAATGGATAATTGATATGTTGATGTAATTGCAAAAAAGAAAAAAAAATGAAATATTGGATGATTGATAAATTCTCACATTCAATTTCTTAGCCCACTATTCTTCTAACACATCAATGGTTTGTTTTACTAGATCCCAACCCAAGCCCGTGAATCCTCACTTTAACTATTTTCATATTTTCTAGTACTTTTTTACTGACCCCACTTGTTTTTCAATGGTATTCTATCATATTCCCTTCCTGTATTTTTCTTAAACTTTTTTATTATATTTTGTCATCCTTGTTAAAATAAGTGGTTGAATCATTTCCCAATTCCACCTCTTTAAGACAAATATCGCAAAATATTATTTTTACATCTTTATCACACATGACAGACAAACCGATTTCTTTTATCTTAACCACGACGACTACTAGCATAAAAAGAACTAAACAACATAAATATGCGACAGAGAATATAAGGTTAACTCACGACATGAAGTCCCAATTAAATTTCCAAAACTTTAAAAAATAACAAAAGAGAAAAAACTGAAATGCATTAACATGTCACCAACACGCCACCACTACAACACATTTAACATCTACACACAACCGCATCATCAACATCAACACCAACATACCATCGCCACCACACTATCACCAACACACCACCACCACCGCATCATCAACACCAACACACCACCACCACCGCATCATCAACACCAACAGACCACCACCGCATCATCAACACCAACATACCATCACCACCACATCATTACAACCAACACTATTACCAACACACTACCAACATCATCTCAACAACAGCACACCATCAACACCGCATCATCAATACCAACACACCATTACCATCGCATCATCAACTCCAACACACAACTACCACCAAATCCACACGTCCAACACACTATCACTACCACCACCACCACCACACAATCAACACCAACACACCACAAGCACTACATCAACACGACCAACATACTACCACCACCACTCTCATCTACCACCACTGCTCTCATCGACCACCACCACCTCAGTTTTAACACACCACTACCACCACTCTCAATAACACACACCACCACCCAACCAACCGGAGGCTGCCAAACACAATGCACATTCCATCCGAGAAGAGGGCATCCCACCAGACTAACTAAACTGAGAAATGAAGCATACACAAAGGCCACAAACCAAAAAGAGCTTCCATGCCTCAAAAATCCACAGAGATAAGCACATTCCAAGTTTATTCAATCCAGAGGCCATAAATTCCGAGTCCATTCATTCCAAAACCCATAAATTTCAAGTCCATTCATTGCAGGGCCACAAACTCGAAAAAGCAAGTCACAAAACAAATTAACCAAAAACTGAGTAGAACGAAGAGCACAAGCATTAAAAAAAAAAGGGTAAAAGATATCAAAATCCAAAATCCCATCCTTTTAATAGTAGAATATCGATTTTATAGTAGAGCAAAGCCACAAATCATAAAGAGAAAGCCACACAGTCTGATTGAACCTCAAAACGCAATAAGAAAAGAGGATACCTTAGAAGGACCTAGAGCAAAAGAACCAAACGAAACCGCGAGAAAGGAGATGATTCCTTATGGTAGAGACGCGAGAGAGGAGAGGACCCCTTAGGGAAAAGACGCGAGGGGGAAATGAAGTACTATGATCGCATAAAATTGCCAACCACGGGGTCAAGCCCGCAGCCCGCGTTTAGGGGAACGTTTCTTAAAATGCTATCGTGTCGCAGCCAGGAAGTTGCACCAAAAGTCTAAATCCACATTAAGATTATAATTGCCCACTAAGTTAAACTTATTGTTGAAATTAATAATTTCTTTAAGGAAAAGAAAATTGTAGGTTAAAAGGTCTAACATAAGAGACTTAGTTTACAGAAAGATGACTATAGTTGATATGCATCAAATTTTGATGTTTTTGTTGTCTCTTTTTTGTATTTTTTTCTTTTAGATAGTGATATAATATTGTGTGGATTTAGACGTTTCACTTGTAGATATTTCTGTTACTATTGAATGAATTAAATTTCCTTATGTGTATTTGTGGATTATTAGTACCTATTTTATATATTCAAAGTTCCTAAAAAATGTGTAAAGAAAATAAAATATTAATATTGTCTAACTGCCGCAATTTTTGACTTAGTTAATTCTAAGCTAGTAGGTTGGGTTGTGACAAACCATCTAGCCGACCTCCATCACCCATGGATTGAGCCATAGTGTGAGTTTGTTTCGTGTTTGTTGTAATTTTCCTTTTAAGCATGTTTAATTGTAACCACCTATTTACTTTCAATAATAATATTTGTTTTTCCTATTGTGGTTTGGGTTAACTCCTTTCTAACTCTTCTACATATAGTGGTTGTTTTCCTACCACTACTAGCCCATTGTTAGTCCCTTCATTATCTATTGGTATTACCACCGAAAACAAGTATCATGTTCTTGAAATACCTTAGCATCATCCTCCATGAATATAGTGATGATGATATATTTTAACAATTATCTGATTCAGATGGTTTTATATTAGATCCACCATAAAGGAGAGAACGAGAAGAAATTCTATTGGCACTTGCATGTATTCACTAGGCTCTAAACTAGATGAGCCAAATAAATAGTTTTGTAATTTTCATAATCCTCAATGTGCATCATCCTTGATTTTTTTCTTTTTTTTTTAATGTTATTTTTTTCCTATGCTTTCGTATCTCTTTTTTTCTCTGGCAACTCTTAGTAGGTTCCCTTGTACTCAAAGCAGGTTATAACATTTTGCTGAAAAAAAATCTATTAAGATAAGCTGTGTAGTGTTATTTTAACCTCACTATATAAATAAGGCAATTAAAAGATGATCTTTTTTGTCATAAATTCCTCTATTCAAAAAGTTGAAGCTTGATCCTTGGCAGTCTTCTAAAGGCGTTACAGATATAATAACCTCCATATCATCCTTGGCCCACAGACTTCCCAATAGCTCAACTAGCCAAGTTAGCACATATTGCAAAATATAAAATTTCATTAGTTTCGAGGTGATGTTTAGACCATAATGTACATCCTAGAATGCTAATGGAATACAAGAAAGATTAACTATGAACTATATATGTATGGTTACAGGCGAAATTGAAAGTCTTTGTTTTATTAGCAGTATACAAATCTTTCCTTATTCCTTACCCTGTTGCATCCACGTACATTATAATTTACCGGAAGATGATAATCATCGATTTTGTGAACCAAGCACCTTGGCCATAAAGTATAGACCAGGGTCTCCCTGCAAACAATAAATACTCCCAAAAAGGTGGAATCAACCTCTACGTCAACCCGAACCTACAAGATGGTATCAACAAGACCAACTCAAGAGGTGCACTACAGGTTATCACCATCATTATCACCCTTATCACAACAATCAGGATTGGCTTAATAAGTTCTCCATGCATCCGAGTGATGCATTACAAGTCAACTATATAAAACAGTGTTGCAACGCATGCAAAGGGGGAACTAGGCAAATCATCTTCCAATGAAGAAATTTCAAAGTTGCGATCAAAACAGTAATTTAAGGAAAAAAAAATGAAAATCTAAGCCGACAAAAAATATCATAATCCTTGAAGAAAAAAGCCTTCAGCGTTGAAATGAAAAGATTAGACAAGGAACCTCTCAAAAGAGCCAGAATATGTAAAATAAGAATTTTAACATTGCAGATCAAGTTATAATAATAATAATAAAATTGCATGGGCGCCAATGTGAAGTACAGCCAACAAGAGAAGAAAACTCGCCTAGTAAGCGGCTGGGAATGAACATCTGGATTGTCATTGTAGACTTCTGACATTGGACTGCGATCATCTAATGAGAAATCTATGGAAACCAATCCATTTCCTTGGGTCACCCCTTCAGCATACAGTATATCCTTTTCAGATGGTTCGTATTCATTGCTTGATACCTCAATTGCCTACAAAATATAAATTTATCAGCAAATTATACAATTTATAGATTGAAGTATGAAAACTAAATTATCTAGTGATGAGTATCTGTAATAAACGGTCTAGGACCGAATTAGTTCCATTAACCAACCCGCCAAGACTCCTCCCTGCCTTGCATCTTTATTGAGATCTTAGAGCAGAGACTAAATGAGCAAGCAACCCAGACAAGAGGAGACGAACAAATGGTGACAGGGGGGATGAGATGTGATTGAACTTGGAGGCATGCCTATGGGTGATGTTGATTTTGAGTGCGGGCAGCTTGTACTTAAGTAGTGAAATGGGAAATGAAAAGAATGGACAATAACGAGAAAGTTTGATCTTTATTTTTAGGACTTACAATAGTGCGGGAGTGTAGCCGGGGAAGTGGAACCACGTCATGGGTGAACGTGGGAACAAAATTTTGCCAAATCAGTGTGACGGCGAAATTCCCATTGTTGTGTCTTTAACCCTTTTGGGCCCCAATTTTAAATTATTAAAAATAGAGTTAGGATTATGTTATTGGAGAATTATTTATATGATTACTATGGACTGGTTTGAGGAATTTTTTGCATTTGGTTTATGCAATAGAGATTGTTTTCTCTAGTTTCCTCTAGCAAAGTGTTCTATCCTTAAATTTTCTCAGGCAGTGTGCACATAACCTGATTGAGGTGGTGATCTCTCCCGGTCATCCACTTACCTACCCAAACCCTTCCAACTTCTACCTACTTGATGTTTTCACTGTCAAACTCCTTGTCCAACCGTCAACCGCAATCGTTGTCTGTCGTCACCACCATTTTTCTCTTCATTCCATTTCTTACCAATATCTAACCCATCTCTTGATCCTTCCATGCCACCTAGGAACCTAAAACCAGTGTCATTTGATATCAAAGCCTGACAAATCCTAAATTTTTAGAGATATGCCTTCCCCGTTCTTAAACCTAATATCAATATAACATAGCTCATCCACCAAAAAATCCATCCTGAAAATTAATGTCTAAACCTAAACTCTCTGACAACCTTTGATTCACAATCCTAATATAACCGACACTCTAAAATGTGGATCAAGTCACTATTGTTTAAACGGGAACCCCCCAACAAGGTGTTCAAGAAATTCCATGGAAAATATGCAAAATTAAGGCAACATGGGAAAGTCACCCACAAGCCACAACAACAATAGAGCCACATTAATGGAAAAATATAGAATATCCCTTTTACCAATAAACTTCAAGTGATGAAGAGCAATGCCCCATTGATTTCACATTGAGCATGGGCGAGATTGATTTTCGAATGAGGGTTGATTTGTCGGATTTTAACGGTTGTAAAAAATTCAAACGAGTTCATTGAGTGGCTCCAGACAGAATAATGGGCTTTTAATTTAAAAGACGTTCTACCTAACATAATGGTAAAACTAACCACCATTAAGTTAAAAAAGGGTGCTTCTTTATGATGTGAAGCACTGGCGTCTGCACTAGTGAGAGGAAAAAAGCAAGATCAAGAGTTGGTCAAAGATGGGAAAGATCCAAAACAAGTACCTACCAGAACATTACAAACATGATGTATTCATGAGAGTTCACCACTTCAATTAGAAAAACCTCGAAGGAAAGGAATACGCTGTTGAATCTGAGATGTTGAAATATAAGTTGGTAGAGCCCGAGAAGAATATCATAACCCATTATCCTGGAGGACTATGATCGTTCATTTGAAAGTTCGTACAATTATAGCTCTAATGGATGTTACAAGATGTCCAGATCTTACCTTTGAAAGAGGAGAGACAACACAATGGTATTAGGTCCACACCACCCTTCAAATAAGTTTCAAACATCAGATCTGGTAGCAAGAGCACATTGACGAGAGAGTCAAGACTTGTTTTCGATGAGGAGAAGCCACTACAAGAGGAAAAGAAAAGCCACCACAAGAGGAAAAGAGGATTGACTGAGCCAATAAACCTAAGATATTTCTAGCGAGACAGTGCTTCCAAGTGTCATGGGTATGGACACATTGCATCAAACTGTCCAAAGATGAGTGTGATTTCATTTACTTAGTAGAGTGCACTGGAAGAAACATATAGTGAAGACTCAATGAGAAGATTGGAGAGGAACATCAATTACCATCAAATGAAGATGAGATGCTTGTGGTTTGACGAATTCTTCAAACAGAGCCTAATATAAATTAGCAATGGCTTAGACTTAGCTTACATATATGTTGCATTGTGAAAGAAAAAGTGTGCAGTCTAACTATAGAGAAAAAAAAATGTTAAAATGTTGTAGCCATACAGATAGCGGATAAACTGAGCCTCACTACTAGAAATATTCCCAACATATTATTTAACTTGGTTAAAGAAGGGGAATAAGATTAATATTGATAAGAGGTGTTCGATAGAAATTTTAATTGGATATAAGCTATAGGATCAAGTGTAGTGCGATATCATGCTTACGAATGTGTCACATTCTTTTGAGTCAATCTTGACAGTATAGTTGGGGTACACTTTATGATAGCTACAACAAGCATATTGTAGTTCTACCATAATAGTAATGAGTAAATCAAAGATAAAAGCTATCGTGTCTCGTGCTATATTTATAACCCATGAAATAGGCGTTAGTGGAACTAACCTTGGTGAAGTTAGAAAGGAGTGAGACAAAAGAGCTTTACTCTGGGCAGTACAACCCCTATTAGAGATGTTTCACGATGTTCTGATTGATAGACTGTCATCTAGATTGCCACCCTTACAAGAGGTTCAACATGCTATCAATCTCATCCCAGGATCAATTCTCCTCAATAGACTAGCCTACTCGATGGGACCAACAGAGCATTAAGCGTTGCAGAAGCATATTGAGGATTTGATGACCCGGACACTAGTTTTTTAGAGCACCAATAAATGTTTTGTTCCTATTTTGATTGCCCAAAATGGATGGGTCATGGCGTATATGCACTATAACAAGGTCATGAATGAGATCACTATCAAGTACCAGCTTCCCATTACAAGAATGGATGATTTATTTAACTCGTTACGTGAAACTAGTGTCTTCTCCAAGATCAACATACACAGCGGTTCACACCAAATCATAATAAAAACAAAAGATGAGTAAAAGATAGTTTTTAAGACACGAGATAAATTGCATAAGTGGATAGTCATTCCTTTGCGTTGTCAAATATATCGAGCACTTTCACGTGACTGATGAATCATAATTTTTGAGCTTTCATTGGAAAGTTTGTGCTCGTGTCTTTTGAGGATATATTGGCACACAAACGTCTAGAGGATGACTGTCAAATTTATCGAGCACTTTCATGTGACTGATGAATCATAATTTTTGAGCTTTCATTGGAAAGTTTGTGGTAGTGTCTTTTGAGCATATATTGGCATACAAATGTCTTGAGGATGAGCGATTGAAGTGCTTGCGATAGTTATTTGGACTTTCTATAGACAAATAGTTGTCTAGTCACTTTCTTACACCACATACATGTTTCCAAGGATACATTGTTTCAATTGTCGGCATTGGACAGACTCAACGAAGAACGAGGATATTATGGCTTGGCCCAAACCACAATCATTTACTTAAGTACGCTAATTTCATGGACTGTCATTTTTTACATGAAATTTATCGAAAATTTTAGCTTTATTGCAACACCGTTGACAAAGTCCTTAAAGTAGACACATTTTTTTGGTCCAATGAGGCGCATAATAGCTTTGAAACTTTGAAGAATAGCTTATTGAGACACTTGTTTTAGCCCTCACAGCCTCAACCAAGTATTCAAGGTGGAGTGTGATACATCTAATGTGAGAATTGAAGCTAGACTGAGTCAAAGTGGAAACCTCATTTTCTTCAAGGAGAAATTAAATGAGTCAATGAGGAAGTATTCTACCAATGATAACGAGTTCTATGCATTGGTAAGAACTCTTAGTCATTAGAGTCATTACTTGCTGGTAAATGAGCTCACCCTTTACATGGATTATGAAACCTTGAGATTCCTGAATGGTTAGAGAAAGTGAAAGGGGAGACATAACTCGTAGATAGAATTCAAATCTTCATTCCATTTTGTGCTCAAACATAAGACACGAAGTCAGAATAAAATAGTTGATACACTGAGTCATGATCACTTGCTGAACAACAACATGAAGTTGAATGCAATTAGATTTCAAGTCTTAAGAAGACATGGAACTGAGAAGAGCTTCTATAAAATTTGAGGTTGTCTTCAGGACATACTGTATGAGCAGTTTCATATATAATATGGCTACTTATTCTAACGAAATAGGTTGTGAACTCTAAAGAGTTTACTCAAAGAAGCAATCTTACAAAAGTGTCGTAATGAAGGTATGGAGGGACACTTTAGCATTGATAAAACTCTTCAAAGTAAAAAAAGAATTTCTACTGCCCCGAATTGATACCAGACATGAAAAGATATTTCAAATAATCCAATATATATATATGATTTGACTAAGACTCGAGGATAAAATACAAGCCTATACACTACGATTCTCATTATAAAAGCACCTTAGTTGGATGAGAGCATGAATTTGTGGTAGTTTGCATGAACACAACAAAGTAAGGAACTGTTATGATAGTAGTATATCACTTTTTCAAGATGGAACATTTTATTTTTTTGTCACAAAATGATGGATACATCAAACATTATAGACTTCTACTTTAGAGAAAAAGTATGGCTATATGACGTACCTTGGACCATCATCTTAGACAGAGAAAAAATTTTAACAGATCATTATAGATTTTGAGTGCGGGCTATACCCACATTTGAGACCGGCAATTCCTAACATCCATGCGGAGGAAAATATGGCAGACACTGTTAATCTTCCAGAAATGTTGAATGAGAATTGGACTTATAAGGCTACTCCTCACCAACTAGACCAGCAGCTTCCACCTATTGTTATTGATGCAGCTCTTCCTCAGATTACAAATTCTATGAATTTTGTTATAGCAGATATTAGCCGAACTGTCTTGGATCCACCTATTGCGAGAGGAGGGTATTAAAGTTATGGAGGCGTGTCAGGATCAAGGTGTATTGCAGGCTAAGTCAGATCGAAGATCCACCTATTGTTCACACAAGACTACCTCTGACAGATGATTGGCAAGTTTACAAATCTAGGAAGAAGAAGAAAGGAATGTCAGATCTCAATAACTCTCAGGATGGTTGTATCATTGTTTCGAACGGAAGCCTACATCTCAGTATGTTGTTGGACTCCCTCCTTAGATTCAGGGGAAGCGGAAGCGGTAGATCCACCGATTACACCCACCATTATTAGGAGTTGTTTCTTTTAATTTTGGGGAATATGTAAGTGGGATCTTTGTAACCCACTCACTAAATCCTTTATATCCTCTTTCTTTTATCAATGAATTTTGTCTTTTCATAAAAATATATAAATAAATAAAAAAATATATATATATATATAGACATCCCTTGACCAAACCGAGCCGCCATTTCGTCAAGCTCATACAAGGAGGCAAGGACACTTCAAATTGACACTTGGAAGAGGTTTTTACACACAAGACGACCAATTTGAACTCACACAATCGATGCCTCGCCTCTTGGGCAAATATATAACTCAAAATTTACAAAAAATTATTTTTAATAACTTTATGTTATTGAAATATTACCATATCTCAAAATTTCATCTTACATACAATGTTTACAACTACAATAAGTTAATTATCTTATTGTTATTCTTGCCTCTTCAATTGATAACATGCACACCCTCTGCATAGTCATAATATTATATTCATTAAAGGTTCATCAATAAAGTTTGCTTCTTGCAAACTCACACCTCTATAATTTTCTGGTCACTAATTGTGAATTCGGTAATATTGTTGGAGGTGTTTAAGGTTATTATTATTTAATTGATTCAACAAGACAATTAAATTTCATTTACATTTTTGTGGATATTAGTAGGTATTAAATTTAAATTCTTTAATGATTTTGTTGGTGGACACATATGTTATTATTGAAATCATCTATTTCTACTAGTTGAAATAATTTCTAAACTTTCATCCAACATGTGATTTTCTTTTAGGCCCTGTGGGCAAGGTGTGACAGTATTTCCTTACGAAGAGAAAAAATTGGGCATTATTTCGTAAAAGAATCAAGTCAAATATAGAAAACTATTAAGAAAAGAATAGCAAAAAGACAAGGAACAAAGTGGATTCATAAACTATGAAATCGACAGAAAGATATGAACAAGAGAAGCGAACAGATGGATAGATCTGAAAATGTCCGAGTATCAAATTATCTATTTTTTTATCCATACTCATGGCTAAGGTTACAGAAATTTACAGGAAAATAATTCTTAATCATCCAACTATATTATAAGATTTTGGCCATTTTTTAGATGCTCATCATACACAGCTTTTTTCGCTTTTCTGAAGAACACAGAAACTTGAAGATCTCTCTTTGAAGCAAACATTGGTGCTTGCCTAATGTCAAGCTAACATAAATAGCCTAATATGCTTAAACAATGCCACTGCAAGGTGAAAAAAATTATCATATAAACTCTAGCCACTTACAATTCTTTAAAATAGAAGATTTAACAATCTGCATATTTGAAGAAGACATTAAAAGATAAATAGCATTTTTCAAATATGCATGCGGAGTAAAAGTTCAGTCAAAGGTAAAGGGAAAAGGTCAAACTACCCGACTCAGGAAGTATTCTGCAACATCCGGGAGAAAATGAAGCTCACTCTTTCTCTTGTATGTTTCCTGTATGGCAGAATCCCTCCACATTTCCTCAACCAATGGGGCATACTCTCGTGTTGCAGCAGGAAAGAATGCATCTAGATCACCCGTTGCAATGATGTCTAAAAGCCAGTCAGAAAACTGCTTCAATTTACCATTTACAGAATAAGTATTCGTGCCATGTCCACCATCACTTCTACCTCCACCTAGGATGATAAGAACACTTTTTGACAATAATAAATGAATTACCAGAAACATGTTTACTACAACAAGACTAAAACATCAAGACCATTTCAAAGTTGAATTAAAACACGGGGTAACTTCAATTTTATAAACTGTGGTGAGTTTCAACAAGTTCTAGTTTATCTGTATTCATCTCACATAAATAAATGCACAACAACCGCACACAGAAGGGCATAATGCACTGTATGTCAACGAAAACAAAATATAAATTTTATGAGAACATTGGCATCACCTATTGTTCAGACATTTAAATTAGAAACAATAATAAAATAATCCATAACATCTCATGCTACCAGTAGCAAATGGAAGTATCCTAGGTGACAAATATATGATTACTTTATTTTTCAAAATGGATAATCAATTTCACACATATGATAAATTTCCTTGAGTATATTTTTATCTAAAAAAGTATGTGTGGCTCATACTTCTGTAGCGAAGTGATATCTGGTACATATACAAAAACATAAAATTTGATGCAGTTATTGATACAAGATCACTTATCAAAGAACATTCATTATAGCCATTGGAGCTCATTTCTGTAATGCAGAGCATATTTAGATTGTATTCCAGAATAGAGATGATTCATCTTAAAGAATGTAAAAAACAGAAACATCACAATATAATTTCCTTCATAGATTGAAGACGATTAAAGTATTATGAAGAAACCAATCCAATAACAGTAAAACATTTGACAAGGAGTCAAATATTTCATTACAAGAAAAACTATAATTTAATTTAATTTAACATACAAAAAAGGTAGACTTCTGCTGCCAAAACTATCAGTAGTATTACCTTCTATGTGGGACTGATTGGTTGTGCCACTTTCTTTTAATTTAGATAAAGCCTCTTCCTCAAAGCATTCTCTTCCCTCAAGCAAAATGCTTAGATACTTGTACATATTGCTTTGAATCATTGACTTGATGCTTTCTAGTTCTTCCACTGTAAATTTACTTCCATACAAAAACTTCACCTGTTAACAGAAATATAGTATCACATTCAAGCATGAAGACTATATATAAAGTCCACAAGACACGTATTGTACATCTAAGAAGGATATAAAAAAATATATAATAAAATTAAAACAACAAGAACTGGCAAGGTTTTCGACAGATTGTCAACTAAATGGTAAGGGGGAAACCATGCATTTTAGGTGCTCAATTACTAACAATAAAAACCAATAGTAAGAGATTCCCCTGGAATTAAAAAACCTAGCAACCGTTAAGCCAATGTGTTATTTTCATCACAGATGACTTGCGTAGCACCTTTTCTCATTTTTTATACCCATGTAAATTTAAACATGCTAGCTTCAGCTTGCATTGAACATGTCTTTCGGATTATATAAAATGGAAGAGAGTTTCAAAGTACCTTTAAAAGTACAAAAGGCTAGATTTGATGACAAAAAAGTACATGAAATAAAGGCATCTGACATCTCTCTAATTAATAATGAAAGAAAGATAGTTTGTTGCCTTCTTTAGCTTATGGACAATCAATTCTTATAAAAGCATCTCACTTACGAGCAATCACAGTACTTAACATTCAAATTTGAATACTAAGCGCTGTCACTTCTATAATAATGGAATATTACCCAATATGATTGGTCACTCATTTATAACTCTAATTACTTCCAACCATTGCAATCCATATATTTTACATTCTTTAATCTAGTAGTCATCATCATCATTAAATTTTTATCCCAACTTTCTGCATTTGGCTTCTAGAGTGTGCATCACTATTTTGCCAATATATAATGATGAAATAATTTCATTGTTAAGTCATCATCATCAACAAAATTAGCATTTTTACAACTATTAGTTGCTCGCAATATTTTTCATTAATTGCTATTAAGTGTAACATTGATATTAGCTTTATTTAGTGCAATTATTTTCTTATCATCCTGCATGTCTAAAATCATAAAATCAGCCGGGAATATAAATTTGCCATCCTCAATGATTCCCTTAGGATAGGCCACAGATTGGTCGGCTAGCTGGAAGGTCAGCGTGGGCTGGCTAAACTTCTCCTAATCCTAATTGTTTGAAAATGGCTAAAGGTATGTAGTTTATGCTGGCCCATAAGTTATAGAAGGCTTTCCCCACAAATTTCTCTCCTATGATCCAAGGGATGGTGAAGCTCGTTGAGTCCTTCAATTTGACTGGGAGCTTCCTCTATAAGATGGCACGACATTCCTTTATTAAGGCCACTCTCTTTTCAGTTCCTAGTTTTGTCTTCTTATCTGTGCATCTTTTACAAATCTCACATAATAAGGCATCCACTCTAAGGCTTTAGCATAAAAGACATTGGTTGAAATTTTGTTTAAGCGGGTCCCTTTTAGCCTTCTGGTGTCTCTAAGGAAAGGTGGTGGTAGCCTCTCTTGTCCATCTCCGATCCTTTAATAGCCTTACACTACTCAAGACTCTGGTCTTTGGGATGAACTTCAACTTTACTTGGGGTTGTTTGAGGCATTCTCTAGCTGTCCTAATTGATGTTCAAGATTCTTAATGACTACAAGTTCGCTCTGTAATTGATTCCCCATTTGTATTACCAGCTCCTCAATGGGTGATCTATTCTGTATGGGCCGAGCATTGGCTTGAAATCCTGATAGGTATGATTTCTTTTGGGGGTTAGTAACTTGGTTATTCCCATTACCGACAAGGTTGGCTTGAGGATTTCCCACTGCTGGTGATTGTTACTTCATCGGAAGTTTGGATGATTTCTCCAGCCTAGGTTATAGGTATTGGAGGAGGGGCTATTGACATAGTTTTCTATAACATTTACAGCCTCTAAAATTGTAATGCTAGGATCCACTGGTCCATATAACAACCCTTCACTTGATGGCAATCCTTGCACAAAGTTCACCCTAAGATTGTATAACTTCCTAGAAATGATAGCTACTCGGGTAGCTAGGATAATTAAGAGATCAGATTCATGAACACCGGCTACCTTTTAGGGTGTGACTCTATCGACGGACCATTGAAACTTGACTTTATCCCTCAAAGAAACTGGGAACAGCCTATGTCTAACGACATCACTGGGGACATCATTAAGCACATAGTTCAAGGAAATTTGACAAATAAAGATTTGGGTTTTCAATAGGTAGTCCCCCAAACATATTATTTTGAACCATCTAGATAATGGTAAGTCTAAGCTCAAATGTATTGGCCTTTACAGTTGGGTAGTTAATGCCCATGTGGATTTCCTCAAAAGAATGGTCAGCATAATCCCTAAGGGGTTTTAGGGTAAGATTTTAAGGGATGGGTGTTTTAGTGACTGAATACACTTTCCTAGAGCGATTAAAGATTCGATTAATTTAAGGGTCCAGGATCAGACTCGGCTCCCTTAGGCATACACTAAGACAGTGAAAACATGATCCTACCGCAAATTAGACAGACTCCAAACCAACAAACCATCAACATACACACATGCAAAAAAGAAAGAAAAACATAGACAAACAGAATATTTTTGGCTTTTATAATTCCTTTTCAGCATTTTAATTTTTTTTCCAGCAATTACAACAAAACACAGCACAGCACAACACAACACGAGTGCAAGCAATAGCTACAACAACAAGAACAAAAAAATAGAAAAAATAACATCAAACAAAAGTTGTCAAACCTAGATTCTAAGTTTATCAGCTAAAGTTCTCATAGAATCAAAATGGTATTAATATTTTTTCCCTGCAACAACGCCAAAAGCTTTACGGCCGAAAAATTACCGCAAGGTAAGTTGGTCAATCATGCAAGTGTACGTATCAAGTAATATGCGGTATCAGATTTTGCGTATGATCCCACAAAGAAATGACTAATAATTATTCTTACAGAAAAATATCTACTTTACTAATTTTGTAAACCTAGCTTGACGAGATCACAACAAAAGATTGAAATCCTAAAAACTTAACAGAAAACAAATCACGAATGCAAAAAGAAGAAACTGAAAGCAAAGTGAAACTTGTTGTTCTTCAAGAGGGATTCAACTTGTGCCTTTGTGATTCAGTTACCATGGGTGTTTGTGATTTTCCTTAATATTTTCTTAAGTGATAGTTGTCAACCAGAGAAAAGTTTTCTTCTTACACCTATGTCTAGGTCATAAGAAGAATCGAAAACCTATGAAGTTAAGTTTTGCTTAACCACATGACATTTCTCAAGATTCTTTTGATCCTCTATCTCAGTTGCAAAACCCTACTAGAATAGGTCTATTCTATTAGAATTTTGTGGTTAGCATATTCATTCCAATATGCGACGGGCAGAAATCATAAATCACGAAAAATATTAACATCCTAATTGGTCAAAATAGGAGTAAATGAAACTCAAAAGATTAACAAACAACATACAGACATGAAAGATCATAAAATGCTACATATTAAACATCTCAAATAATCACAACATAGTAAAAAAAACCACAAACAAGAAATCTATGCAGATCATCATTATAAGAAAATAATAGCTGTAAAACTTAGAATCAAGACTTGTACTCTCCACAAGAGCAGAAGAATCTCTGTCAAACACAATCTCTCAAGAACATCAAGAACAAAGAAGAGAAGGAAAAATAGCCTCTTAAAACTTCAACCCAAAGAGAAGAAGAAAACTCTATAGAACTCGTTCTCACCAAAAACCCTCTCCACTTGCAGCTTCTAGCAGCTCAAGATCCTCCAATTTGTGCCCTAATTATTTCTTTAAAGCCCAAGTCCAAAATTGCTAGGAAACTCATTCATGCTGAGAAGGGGGCCTCGACAGCGTAGCCACACCAGATTCCGGCGTGTCTACGCCAATGTTGGACAAAATTATGGGTTGCGTCGGCATGACTACGCCCTAATGCGGGCATAACCACGTCACACCTGGCGTGACTTGGTTATAACACCCATACGAAGCAGGCAACATAATTACGTCACTTTTAAGCGTGTATACGTCAAGTAGTCTTTGTTTTGGTCAGTTTCGTGCTCCATGATGCGTGTTTGACCCACTAGAGCCTGCAAAACAAGACAAACAACCTTTCACAAGCATAAAATTATGATAATTAATGAAGAATTTGTTGAATTAATCACAAAAAAATACATAAATATCACACTTGTCTGTGACGCATTTTTTCATATTTGATATTTAGATTGTGGGTTAGTAACTACCTCACCACCCTCTCAAATGGACAGTATGCCTCTCTATTATTTATTTTGTTGTGGTGCATTGGTGTTAGGATGTGGTGGCATTGTGGTGACACGATTTTAGGCTAGCATAATTGTTGTTGTCCTTACACAAAGCATTGTATTTTAGAGCTTTATGTTAAGATGTTTTGTTGTGTGACTTGATGTTGGGAGTGTGGTTTAGGGTTTGCATCCTTTTGTGAATTCATTGTTTAGCTCTCGGGATGGCAGAATTGCTCCTCTATTTACAAAAAACATGTGATAAATTGTTTTTGGGGTGTGGTGCATATTGTCCATCCTCTTGTAAATTCACTGTTTAGTTGTTTGGGCTTTCTTAGGATAACAGAATTGTTGGTTTGGAGCTATCTGGCTTATGATTATGTTGTTGTTTATTTTAAATAGTGGAGAGTATCTTTGGAAAAATAAATCCCAACGGATTGATCATCTCAAATATAAAACTAATATTTTGACAATATTAATTGTTGTTTTTATACTTTTCTTTTAAATTTTGGTTGCTGTATTACTCATTGTTAAGTGAGATGTCACTTCTAAATATTATATATGAAGTTGTAATTTTTATATAATTCTGAACATAATTTTTATTTTCATGTATAAGTTATTAAGTCTAGAATGGATATCTTACAAACATCACAATATTATAAGGGCTAAAATCTCTTCTTTTCATGAAAGCCTACAGCACAACTGTTGTACAACTAAACTAAATAAATAAACATAACTATTGTACAACAGCTACTTCAAGCAGTTACAGATGCCCCAAACAGACCCTTAGTGTATTGACTAAAAATGAAATAAGTTATATCACAAAAAAATTAAAAATAATT